ATATATATATATATATATATAATTTCATTATAAAAATATTATTTTTTTTTTAAGTTTTTTAAATCAAATCAATATCTGCAGTATTAACAAATAGAAATGAACTTTTAATTTTTATTAAAAAATTTATGTATTCTTTGTACATATTTTTTAACTGCATTCTAAAAGTCCACCTCCAAAGACTTTAATATTTCGTTGTGTAGATGAAAACATAGCAAATTTATTACAATTGCCTACAATTATTTACAAATTACTGCATCCGCTAGGCGTTTCATTTTAATAGCTCCCAAAGTGGAACCAAATCAATTATCCAGCAAATGCCTACATAAATTGGTTTGCGCCTTGAGTTCGGGAGCAGCTGTTGAATTTATTTAAATGGAGTAGCCACAAATAGCGAATCTCCGAAATATGTGCAACACTTAATAAATTTATTATTTACAACTTTTGTGGCGACTTTGTGTTTATTTAACATTAAATTTATTCAACATTTATGCCTAAATATATATAAAAAAAAATAATTTTTTGTTGTCATTTCAACTAGAATTTGAACAAAGCAAAAATAGACGTGGAGGTGGTGCTACCTCCGGACTTTATGCCTTCCCACGCGTTGGCCGTAGCGATCCAAGCTTAACAAATAATTTACACGACATGGATGACAATTTGTATGAGCCCTCGTTAGAGGATTATGAAGGTATAAAAATTATAGTAAACATTATTAATAAGTATTATAGATTAGAATTATTTAATTTATTAATTATTAATTTATTAATTTATTTAATTTTTTTTTAGACCTTCCCAAAAGTGAAATCAAACGTGCTAATTTAATCACCTTTCCTCGTGTAGGTCGAACTGATGCGGAAATGCGTAAATGGGCTCGTCTATTGGCACTGCAACAAGCACTTGAGAAACGTGCTGGACCTACTTCCGGTTTATGGTTTGGTCCCCGACTTGGCAAGCGCAGCGTTAACAATAATGTGAAGCAGCATGCAAACAAAGGACAAAACGAGGAATATTAGACGAATGAAGACAAAAATTTCGACAAAAACTCTATTGATGACAAAATATTTGCGATGAAAATGGACTACGATTTCGTTTCAATGCCTTGGTTATACAATGGACGTCAATAAAAATATATTTACGCTATGATGCACACACTCAATTTTACAATTTATAAACAATATTTAACCAGAAAATAAAAATATATATTAAATAAATTAAAAAATATATAAGAAAACATTTTGCAAATCTTATACGCAGTTGCCCTTAATAATGTAAGAAAAAAGCAAAGAGATCAATTTTTGAATTTGTTAATTTTATTAATTTTTTTTTCAGTTTGATTCAGTAAATTAAAATAAATTTTTGTATTTAAAAAATAATTAAATTAAATTTCAAAATAAAAACAAATTATTGAAATGCATTAAAGTGTTTGAAAATATCAGTGGGTTTATGGTATTGTTTTTTATAACTGGGCTGGTGTGGGTTTTCATTAATTGATGTTCTCAGAAATTAATGATAATGTTAATTAATGAAAATCTTTATATATAAAAAACAAATATTTTCACTATTAACAACTAACAATGTATTTTCAACACTTTATTACATTCTATGAATATTAATCTGATTAATTATGATATTAGATATTTAGCTTTAATAAGTAGAAAATATATATACGCTACATATATATATACGCTACAATTTTTTTAATTAAATAAATCTATATATATATATTAAATGTTATTTTTGAGATGCTAAATTCCATAATATAAATTTTATTGCGATTAATAAAAAACAAGAAAATAATGCACAGAAAGTGCCAAACGAATTTTGTGTTTTAATTTAAAACTAAAAAATGAGAAATATATATATTAGTGAATATATATCAAAAAGATAATATTTGAATTAATATATTTTGTTTTTATTTACGGTATACAACTAGTGCCACATATTACACTGAACATTTTACCAAATCACCAATAATTACCTAAATATTCCATATAAGAACTTCCATATGATCCTTAAAATAGCATATTTATAGTTACAGATAGTTTTTTAATAAACGATATCGCTTTTAGTAGTGGTTCTACGAGTTGGTCACATCAATCGTATCCAAATGTACCATGATCTGTAAAAGATTTACCACGACATTGACGTTATTAAACAAATTGACATCTCTCGGCTTCGCTGACTTGGTCATGTTGTGAATATAGATGAAGATGAGGCAACGAAAAGTGTATTTGCAGTAGCACTTAGAGGAATGAAAGTTGAGTAAGAAGAAAACCATGATTTCGTTGAGGGATTAAGTTCAGGAAGGCGCCTCAACTCCAGCAGAGGATCCCTACATCCAGGTTATGAAGGACAAAAAGGAAAAAAATTATAAAATACAAGTTGTAAATAAAAGTCATTGTGTAAACGAAATAAAGTTTGAAACATGATTTTTCAACTTTTTTTAGTTCACATGAGCCTAATAAGATGGTACCGAGTCGTGTTGGAACGTCCATGGCCTACGACTTAAATATTTGCATGCCCACGGCTCTAAAGCAACTTTCAAAACATTTTTCCGATAATATCTCGCACTAACTTTGATACCAGGTTTGATGTAAACGATTGGAGAGCGTTCATCGGCGGTCGCAGCTGTCTATATCATTACTTGAGATGGAAAATTACTTCGAGTAGTCATTCGTAGTCTTAAATTTTTGACAGTGCATTTAGTTAACTAAACACGATAATTTTAAGAGTTTATGAATTGCTCAATGAGGAAATTTTTTCTTATCAGAGAACATAATATTTGAAAATTCGACACGTTTGTGCAAGAGTAATAACTCCTTTTCTGATTCGAGTCTAACCTTTTGTTGCTTTGGTATAAGATCTTGTGCTTTTTGGAACTTGTAAGGCTTTACCTTTAGCTCATTTTGGATTATGCGTCGGATTTCAAGTGACATTGCTGTGATATTTCAGGTGGCCATAGCGTTTGATGACGCTGCCTATAATATTATAATGATTTATGGTACAATACACAAATATTTTATTCAATTTGAGGTGTTTGAGCTCACGAACAATCGTTGGTTATGGTTTTCCAACGAAATATAACGCAATCACACTATTACATTTGAATTGTATTTCAATTAACTTTTGTTCTATACAACTTAGACACAAATTCCTGTGGTAGCTTATAAAAACAATATAAACAGTCTGACAGATATACCGGTGTGTAGTTGGTAACACTTCAATCGCCTATCCCTGTATATATAAATGCCTTATTCAGAAATAATTATTATTAATCTATATTGAGAGAATATATTATGTCGGAAGTTCCTATCCTCATCCGAAGCAAGAATGTTCTCAACAGCTGACATTTTAGAAGTTTCACTGTTCAGTTGGGATCGGCAAATAACACAAAGAATCAATAGTGCTAACAGCATTTCGTTCTTTGAAAGCCAGTAACCCCTTTATTTCTTATTCTGTTCTGTATCTGGTATGTCCCAATATAATTTTATGGAATCGGACAGGCCAAACTAGAGCAACAGAATAAATTTAAAATCGTTAATGGAGCTGGATAGAGCACACTCTCAGAAAGCCTAGCAGCAACATTGCTGGAAAGGTACTGAGATGAAACTCGAAACTTGATATCCTTGACCGGGGAATTTTGGAAAGCAAATTAAAGGATCCTAATTATTTATGGAACATTATATGAAATATGTCCCAATTGGTAGAAACTTACAGTTCTCTTCACTCTTTACTAGATATGAAACATGACCACTATATGTTATACAAGGCACTAACCTGGTCTAACATGTGTAGCTTATAGAATTGTGTCATCTTTGTGTCATACAGTAATCAGCTTTACATTATATACCCAACTGATATAGTGTTGTCATATTAATTGTCAAAGACATTAGAGACATGAAATTCAACCCCCATTTCCACGTACTGAACTAACCTTAGATTATTGATGACTACGAAAGCCTTAGTTCCTGTTTTCAATTTAGTACACTATCTCATTTTTTTGGATTTCTTTCTATTTGTATCTTTAATATCTACAAACATGTAATAAAATATTAAAATTTTATGCGACTAAGAACTATTAAATGCATTAAATTGCTTAAAATTAAATTTTTCATTTTTTATCTTCTTTGAATCTGCGTAGCTCATTTTGAATTGCCTCAATAATCGGTGCAGCTGAAGAATCTGTACGTTTTGCTTTCGATTTCAAACCAGAGCCCATAATTTTCGACATTGGATACTGTATTGGACCAGCACTCATTGGACGTACCAGTGTGGAGTGTGAATCATAAAGACTGCCACCCCAAGCGCCGGTGGTCGGTGATGGTGGCTGTGTTGATTGATTTGATTTAGGCGTTGTTTTTGGTTGTGCGGTGGACGGACGTATATCAAAACTATGCGGTCTGCTACTATAACTAAAAATAATAATATATTTAACTAATATATTTAACTTGAACGAAAAACAAACCTTGGTATACCAGCGGAAGAGCCACGATTCTCACGTTTAGTAGGCTTGCGATTATTAGTGAAATCTCTTGTGGGTAATGGCATGGGCAAATCATCGTGGCTGGTATACATTTGCATGGCGCCTTCGAGTAAATCTCCGTAATGATTTCGTATAGAAGCAGGATCACGAATCGGACTAAAATTCGAACCTGCATAAACTCCATCGTCTAAGTTTAAGTTGAAAAAAATGTAAAAGAAAACGAAAGGAATGGGAAGAAGACAAAAGGAAGTTGAGTGTTGAAATTCCGTTGTATTTGAGAGTTGCTTATGTACAATTTACGAATAAAAGTGAGATAGTTAGTTTAGGCTATTCGATTTGCAATAACTAAATTTGTACTACTTTCAACTACTTCAGTAAAAAATTACTAAAATCGTGCACGTTGCTCTAGACTTGGCGCACTGTTTTTATCATTACCAGTTTCTTTATCGCCACTCATTGATTTCTTATGTCTCTCCCAAACAATCGGACCCACAACACCAGGATCGGCATTATCACTTTGGGAGGTTAATCTTTGAGTTTTCATCGGTGCTTTCGGTATTGGAAAACTTTCAATGGTTGCAATAGTTGTACCATCCAGCGAATCTTTTTGGCTACGTTGTCGACGTTGTGACTTATGTGATTTACCAGATGGGGGCACTGTGTTCTCCACATTATCATAATATGTAACAAAAACTGGATCTAAGACGCGATTTAGTGGTTCCGGCAGAGTATTCTTTGGAAATGCTTTTACAGATGCCATGGAAAGAAATGAACCAATACTACCAGTATCTGAAGACTTTTCCGATGGTTGTAATGTACGTATAATTTCTTTGTTAATAGCTTCAGTGGTCTGTAATTGATGCACACCTTTTGAATGGCTAGGCTCGGGATCAACATAGAAGCTCTTTTGATGTAACAGCTTATTACGATGGTAGTTATTATGTGGATTGTAAGCTTCTGCACGCTCGTAGTTTTGATAAGCACCAGGTACAGATACTGTATCACCATCTACAGATTCTGTTGCAATATCGTCACCTGATGAGTTTCCAAGCCGTTGGACTGGGCTTGTCTCGAGTGAACCCACACGATTTTCCGATAAATAACGTCGCTTAGTTTTGTAACGCTGCTTTTCTCGTTTTTTCTCTGATAGAATGGTAGTGTAAGCGGTTTCTTCGCGTCCCTCCGCATGGTCATATTGGTGATGTCGCCTTTTGTGGCGTTCAAATAAGTTAGCAGCTTTTTCGTCTAAAATACGCTGAACGTCTGCAGTCGGTGGATTTATAGGACAATAAACAGATGAATCTGATGTGTTATCTGTAGAAGTAATAGAGCCACGTCTATTTTGTGGTGGACCTGGAAACTGTATACGTGCTTCTCTACTTCTATGTATTTGCTCCTTCTCGAACGACATATTTTGTACACCAACATCGCGAGAATGTATCGTGGAGCGTTCTGTATCTAAAACAGTAGCACTTGATGTTACTCTACCTGACTGGTTCTCACTTAGTAGCTCATTACGACTTGTTGATCTGAAAATGTGTTTAAATGATTATTTCTTATCAGAAAAGGCTACAGCATCGGCGCTTACCTAGTATTCTCAATATGTTTCTCACGTACATGAGAACGACCCATTAGCAAGAGAGCAATGAGCAGTAATAGAAGCAACAGGAGAGCAATGGAACTGACAACAACCAACGCAGTGTTGTTTTGTATAGAATCAATAAAGCCAACTGAACCGCTGCGTGTAGCTGGAGCAAGTGGAGTAGCTTGAGGTTCACGTAAATAAGCTGAA